CTGTGGTAGAATGCCATTCCATATTAGATAATTTTGTTTTTAAGTATTTCACAGCGATTCAGTGCTAACAACTGGATGACATTTCAAGCACAAAGTATTGCTCATAGTCAATATCATTTTGATATGATAAAATGTGCTCAAAACGTCATCACTAAACATTGCTGTATAACACTGTGTGACTTTATCAAATTAAATTTTATCCATAATGGAATTATATTCTATCACAGTGCCCAAGCTCTATTCTTATGTGAATTTCTGAAATGAACATATGGGTGGGAAGAGAATACTAAAATTCCCTCTAGACATTCCAGTTAAAACTTGTTAGTCACCTTTCACCAATGTAAATAAACAAAAATTTTGCGGACCACTTGAAATTTGAATTACCTGTTTGATACTGAAAGCCACTTGTCTGTTTGATGCACTCAAGTTGAAAAGAAGAAAAAGAGCAATATTTACAGAAATAAGAATCAAACCTTCATCACATAGTTCGATAAAATAAAGGAACACAATCATACATAAATTTCAAGATAGCAAATACACTGAAGAAATCATATTTAGTAGCGACCGCAGAGAAATATGAGTGAATAACCAACAAATCGAAAAAAAGTATTGGAAGGTATAATTCCATAGTAAATTATTTTTAGTGCATTTATCCCGCAAGGTGAGATAAACTGAAAGTAAAGAATAGACACCACAGTCAAATGACCTTGAACCAATCAAACAAATCACCCGAATTTGTAAATGGATGCTTTTCACGATCTTAGTTGGAAGTTTCAGCCTAACCTCAATCATAATTATTATTGTTCCCTTGGGGTCCTTGTGGAACATAGGGTTTCAACCGCACGTCTCCACTTGCTTCTGTCTTCTGCTGTATTTTTCACCTACATCCATGTTAGGCCATACTGTTTCAACTCCTCTTCACATGACCTCTTCCATGTCACCCTTGGACGTCCCACTCGCCGCTTCCCTTTCGGCCTGGTTCCAATCGAGCAATGGCCTGACGTGTGCGCGATGTCACCCAGTGACGGCTTCCTCAGCGAGTGTTCAATCCATCCATCTCCACTTTCTCCTGCATATTTGTTGGTTGGCGATTACTTTGTTCTTGTTTTGTTTGTTTGTTCGCATAGTTTCTTGTTGGTGGTTCTTTCCGGCCCGGTCATCTGATCTTCAATATAGATCCAGCGAACAGAGTTATTGGTTGATAAAGGTCTGCATGCAACAGGCTGTTGGAAATATTCTTTGTGACCAGCCCGCCAAGTTTCTGATCCGTATAGGAGAACTGATTGACTTGACGTTTGTATTGAAAACCCGACCGAATTTTGTTGTTGATGCTGGCTGAGTGACGAAAATTTCCGGATTGGTTTCAGGTAGGTGATGAATGTGTTTCTCGATGCCTTACCAATTCTCGCTCGATTTGACATCCTCGTCCGCTCCTTCTGTAGTTGAGACAATGCTCAATGATAGATAAGTGAGTTAATGAAGTAACCTCTTTCAAACATCTCCCGTTGATGGTGTTTGGCACCGGATGTTGCTGCTGCTGTTGTAGTTGTTGGTTGATTATTTTCATAACCTGCGTCTTGTCTATGTTCACCTGGAGTCCTGTCTTCGCCGGCTGCTTCTTTGACCAGTTTGTTGGTTTTCGCTTGTATGTCTTTGATTTTGTGTGACAACCTTAATCATAACCTAACCCAATCTTAATCCTAAATCAGGGTGAAACTTGCGATAAAGATTATGAAAAGCATCCATTTGTAATGCTTAGCGGTCTGATTGGTTGGGATTCCGAGTCAGTTGACTGCGGCGTCTATTCTTCACTGTTGCCTGAAACAGTACTAATTATTGTTCATAATCACGTCATAAATTATATCTACACTACTTCAAAACTTGAATTTTGTAATTCTCTTTATTTCTTCGCGTTTGTTGTAGGAGTAGTAGAATTTTTCAAATATCCAGAAGAGGTGTTTAACCCTTATTAGTGCACGTATTCTTAGGTGATTTGATAAATAAAGCTTCCGTTATTAACTTTTCCCTCCATCCTGTTATATTAGATTTAAAGACTGATACGGAAATCTCATCCTGTTGTTTGGCTGTGTGGACCGGATGAAGTGTTATAGCTGATTTATTCCGTAGATTCCTTATTTAACTAGGGTCAACTAGTCCAGATTTTGTCTTGCTTTTGTGCACTGCTAACCCGATTGCCCCCATCCTACCATTTTGGTCTATGTATTTTATCTCATAATTATATGAGGGTAATAGGGAAACTTAATTTTTTTTTTTAATAAGCTCCACGGAGTCTTTTAGGTGATATAATTTGTCTCAGAAGTGAACTTGTGGCTTTGAATGATACTTCTATTGTTGTTGTTTCTGAGGTCTATGTATAGGGTCTCAGAGGTTCCCTCTTTATATGGAGGTACTAGTGATGTTTTTCAAATTCCCTGTGGCTGAGGTTTTCATCCTTCTGTGTATGTTTGTCGTTTATGTCGCCCTTATTATCATTATTATTATTACTGTTAATAATCTCACTCTTAAAATTTCCTACATACTTGCAGATTATTTTACCCGGGTAATTACTAATTTTTAAAGCTTCTTCTACATTTCTCACTTTCTGTCTTACATTTTCTTTGGTACTTTTTAAACGTTTTCACCCTTTTACTGAAACATTCCACTAATCCTAGTTTTACTGACATGGGTTGGGATGAACCGAAGTTCAAAAATATTGCTTCGAATATGTGAATTTCCCGTAAGCGCCATTGTTGGACATCTTATCTTATTTCTTTCTTATAATGCCAGTCTAACAGTGAAAGTTTGCTCACATGACTTTCCATTTCATAAGTAAATTGAATTATACCTTTACCTGTGAGTTGATCAGTTAGAAAAATCTATTTCTGTCTTGTGTTCTCATTACTGTGAATGTGTCATCTAGATACCTTGTTATCAGACCAACTGAAAATACGAGCAAGAGGAATGACCCAAGACTTCTCCCAGATTACGGCCAGTAGAAAACTTTCCAGTATTGCGTGCCACCACTAAGAACTTTTTTCGATAGTTTTGTTTTTGAGAAATGTATCCAGAATAAAAGTAGAGGAAAGAGAGACCATGTTATATTTATAAATAAAGTTTTTACATAGCATGGCGAATCCTAGTAGTCTATTATGATGCAAAAAATGGTATAGGGCGAAATGATTAACTGTAAATCGTATAAAAGTGCAGAGTCGCTTACCCCAAGCTCAATCCTGCCATCTCTGTCGAGCTTGAAACCCGCTGGAAAATTATCGAGCTAGTAAACTAGGTGAGGATCTAGGAAACATCGTTTCAACTATAGGTAGCTAACATGGACGAGAATGTCAGAACCGGCAGTGATGTGATTGGAAAGACAAGTCAAAAACTTCATCAGTTTGAAATGTTTAGAAATCTGAACTCAGTATATTTTGTTTTATTTATTTTTTGATTACAGCTTGATTCTACATGGTATTTTTGGTACAGGTATGAAATTTTCAGCATGTGATATCGGTAGCCCAAATTTTGCAGGCCGACCATAGATATCGGGTGTGCGTCGGCACAGGATTTAACTGCAGACCATGTGCATGATCGACGAGATTCGGAGTTATCAAACGAATGGGCCGTTGAAGGCCTATTTTCCTCTCAGAACCCAAAGGCAACAATTTTAATAATACAATAATAAATAATCACAATAATACACATTTTTGCTCTTGTAATCAACATTATAAAACAGCCGCCAATACTTATGAAGTCGGTAATCCTTTTATCTTAAAACAAAATGCATTTATAACACTATTGCCAAGGCAGTTAATGCTTCTTTGTGAATCACACACACTTGACGCATAACGGGAGGCATTTCCATCCGATAGGTTTCGAACTTTTTAGACTTTTATCGACAACTGCTTTCTTTTCGTTAGTGAAGATCGAATGTCCACTGGAGAGAATTAGTAATAAGGAAGTCTGTCAGTGAGCGTCGGTGGCACAGTGGTTAGGACGCTCGCCGACCATGCACATCGTCCGGGGCTCGATCCTCGGTCACCGACGCACTCCTTTACCTCGCTAAGCTGGAAATAACGCTGGTAAATAGGAAAGGTTGGGCATGAGGCTAGCAACCCCATCCTATAAAAATAAACACTGCTACAGAAACTTCAAGCCACTAGCTTGAAGCCCTATGTTCCACTGGGAACGTGAAGGATATATATATATAAAAGTCTGTCAGTGCCCAACAAATAATATCGAAGAAAATAGGGATGGATTGCGTACACACTAAGGTGACTGTTTTGGTGACATTGTACGCAATGCAATGCTGTCAAGTAGAACCTTAGTGAAAAAAACGACGAGTTTGGCATCTGAAGGTGTGACATGCAACAGACAGTGTGAGCAAAAGACCAGAGTTTTTGGGGAATCTCGAAGCCGACTAAAGAAGACAGAATTGCAGATGTACACAGTTGAAGCCGTATGTTCCACTTGGAGCCCAAGGGAATAATAATCACAATAACTTGTAACTAGAATTTAATTTGTGGATGGTGACTAGCAGTGGAATGCAGGATGCGCATTTCACCTGTCATATTTAGGACTCGATAGCTGGGTGTACCTGCATTTCTTAGTGAGTGATGATGTTCCCACCGAGTGGATAAGGCTTTGGCGTTTGAAACTATGGACACTGGGTTCGAGCCTCGATGGGGGGAACATCATCACTCACTTGGAAATACAGGTACATCCAGTTAGCTGACGAGTCCCAAATCGGACGAAATGCATATCAAGCTGGATTCCACTGCTAGTCACCATCCACAAATTAAATTCTAACTAAATGCCCAGACATCGTCGAAGCATCTGCACAAGAAGCCAACAGACATGTCAACCTGAGACCGAGGAGCACTTCAGTGCAATCAATCCATGGGAAAATTTCAAATTCATTTAAAATAATAACTTGTTAATCTATATAATAGAAAATACACTCCGAAAAACAGACAAAAAGGGCGTTCAGTGTTTAATTATTATTATTATTTATCACTGCTATTATTATTGAGTAAATTTTTCATACTTCTACGTTGTCCTCCATTCAGTGTAGTCATTTTCATCGATTCCATTAAACTTCTATTACAATAATCCATTTTTAAACTTGAATATTTTACAGTTGATAATTTACGTGGGTTAATTTTATTTCGATTACCATCCAATTTATTACAACTTTGCAGAGTTTTCTTTTTATCCCCATGAATTGGACAGTTGGACATGATATGCTGACTTTTTATTGAATGCATTTTACACGATATATCAATACTACTGAGTACATCATTTTCGTCATTTACACCGCTTAGTCCATGAATTGGACATGGAAGATTCTCGCTGATGAATTTATCGCATTCCCCCAGTAGCATATCACACTTATCATACTGGTATTTAGAGGTAGTTGGTTCTTCAGATAGAGTATAAGTTAATCGTTCTGGTGTAGTTGGACTACTGAAAAGTGAATAAGTAGTTTGTGGTATTATTCTAACAGAATTTGTATTAGCCGGGAAATAAATTAATTCTGGTGAATGACTTCTCGACATAATGCCTAGTTTATAATAACTTTTAGGTTTCACTGATGATTTTATCGACGCAGCAGAATCTATATGATTTGAATTTGAGTTATATTCTGTTAGACTATCACAATTCTGGGAAGCATTCGATGTTAAATAACCCATATCACTACTTTGTGGTGACGGCGACTCTTGTTTCATTGAATGATGTGTTAATTTTGTTTGTAATGTATACTTAAAACTGTTATCATTATTATTTGGAATATTATAAATACTGAGGTCATTTATATTTGATAATTTATTATTTGTGTACGGTGTCATATGATTCATTTGTAAATGCGTTAAATTTTCATCAGGTAAATATGATAACATTGGTAAGAGATCACTTACTATCTCTGTATTATTATTATTATTATTAACAACAGGATCTAAATTATTCAATACATTTACTTGAGATATATTATCTATGACTGGAGTATAACTTGAAGTTATTGATTTTGTGTAGCTGACATTTAAATGTTCGATGTTGTCTTCCGTTGTTTTAATTAATCGATTTTTACTATGGTTACGCATATGCGCGCGTCTATTGTACACACATTTTAATATACACAAACCAATTATAATAAATGTAATATTAAATAAAATGATACCTATTGTAATTATAATTGGATTAAATAAATTATTATTATTAAATTGGCTATTTTTATGAAAATTATTATTATTATCATCATTATCGAAAAGTTTGAATGCATTAATTTGTTCATTTGACTTTTGAACATGTACATGGAATGTTGCCGATGCATAACCCTTATGATTACTTGTTTGACATTTATATTCTCCTTCATCTCTATTTTTATCCAAATGTTCAAAGTATAGTGTAGTGATAAATTTTATGCCAGGGCTAATAGTTTGTATAACACGTGACCAATGTGGTTGTATGAGTACACCATTATGAAACCATTGAATCTGCATTTTTGGTTCACTGATAAATGAACAAACTAGAGTTAAATTATGATCTTGAAAACCATAAACATCAATAGGTGTTGCATGATCAGTAAGATTTGAATTTGACTTGACAGGATGATTTCGATAAGATGACGTTGATGATGACGGTATTGTACTCATCAATTCTGGTTCACACTGTAATGAAGTTAAATTTATATACATTAATGGTATACTTTGATATTGTCCTGGAGAACCGCATTCACCGCCTGGTTTTAAACTAAAATGTGTAGCTTTTTTCGGCAATCGACTTAACCATCGACGAAACCATACTATCTGACAATCACATATCCATTTGACACCATCTAAATTAAAGTAAGAAAAGTGTTCAGGTGTCAATCCACGCAGTGCATCTTCCATTAGATTTGCAAATGTATTATTAGCTAAATTTAAATAATGCAGCTGATTTAATCCATAAAATGTATCCTGTTCAAGATGAATTCGTTTTGGTATTGAACTCATCTGGAGACGATTCAAACTTGCCCCGACATGATATAAAAATCTAGCCGGTAAAAATCCTAAAGCATTCCCCGATAAATCTAAGTATTCCACATGAATAAGTTGAGAAAATGCTGTCACTGGGAACGGGGCATGAATACTTGATGTCAGTTGGTTGAATCGTAAATCCAACCATATTAAAGTATCTGCAATAGGTAGAAAAGCACGTTCAGTTATTTTGTAAATCCTATTGTAAGCCAAAATTAATTTACGAATATTACGTAACCGAGTAAAACTATCCTCATGGAGTATTTCAAGTAGATTATAGGATAAATCCAACTCGCTAACACTTTCATGTATAAATCCAGGAATCTCGGTAAGATGTCTACCGGAACAGTTAAATATACTCGTGTTTATCTGTGAAGTACATACATTAGACAATGCACACTGTTTATTATATAGAAGGATTAATATTAACAATTTTGAAATAATAATAACTATCATGAAATGAGTAATCTTCAGGTCAACAGTGTAAGTCTGAAGGTCATTCTAAAGACAACCATTTTTAAACTTTTATTTGATGATGGTGACAGTGTTCCGCCTTCTTCATCTTCTTTCGTGATGAATATCGTAGCATCAATTGCATTTGTTATGTAATGTTGTTATCCTTCACAGGATAATAATCTTCAACATTCTCTAATATTGATTGATTTGACTACAAATTCCATTAGTCTGGAAAATAGACGTTTGTTGTAAATCCACCAATCAAAATGCTTTCATGGCATAGATGGATAGATAGACAGACACACCCACGCACATTAAGGTGTACACACACATGCGTATTGAGTCATTAAATAATAATAATAATAATAATAATAATAGTAATAAGAGTGATAATTATTATCATTTGTCTGAGCATCAGTTTTGTTCACCTACCTAGTCTATTCCGAAGAAAAAGAAGAGGCCATTCTGTAGTCTGGTTTCCAAGTCTTTTTCATGATGATATCATTATTATTATTACCATATAATATTATAGAAAGCTTTATCACATGACTGTAACATTTTTCACCATTATCCGAAATGATCTAATCTGTGTAGAAGGTTAAAAAAAAAAAAGAAATAGGGGGATTTTTAGACTTTAATAAAGAAATGAGGAGAAGGAAAATGTACTTTGGCCAGTTTCATTTTCCTACTCTGGGGAATTATTTTAGAGAGGAGGAGAGAAAGGTGTCTGGGAAATAAAATTATTTGAGTTTTGTTTTTCTTCAACAGACTGAATTATTTTCATGTAATCAACAAAAAGGGAACTCGCGTCTAACTATATATGAAGCCTGCGGATCTAGTCATATTTTGTCGACTTTGAAGAGTATATGTCATCCACTGTTATACCTTATAAGGAGGGGACATCCAAGACACCCCTACGTAGGATTCTTAATAAAGCAGGAATTAGAGTGCCATTCAAACCTACAAACTCACTCAGAGACAAGCTCTATAGGCTAAAAGACCCGGTGGACCCAATTAGACAAAGTAATGTAATTTACAAAATACCCTGCAATGACTGTCAGTCAGGTCAACTACATAGGTCAGACTAGTAGATCGGGGGTAATTAGATTGTCGGAATATCAGAATTCAGCTAAGACAAGAATGGTTGACCCCGAGAAGATAAGTAATTTAGAAAAAAGCTCGGTGATTGCACTACATGCATTAAAACACAACCACACAATATGGTGGGAGAGGGTTAAGATTCTAAGAAGTAATCTATGTAGGTGGAGAGAGAGAGAGATTGACTACTGAATCCTGGTTCATCATCGAGTCTACACCCAACACATGCAACAGAAATGACTCAATGCAAATATTAGAGATATGTCTCGGCCGAAAGCTGCTACCTTGACGTTGGTCGGGCTTGAACACCACAATGATCTATTCAAGCTATACTGGCTGAGACTTATTTCTCTTGAGGTTCTACCATGCCAGGCAGGTTGTTTGGATAGCGGTTAAACAAAAAGCAGATACCTAATCCAACATAATGATACATAGAAAACCACAAAATTTCATGCCGGATAGGTCGGGGCCCGGATTAACAACGACCGCGCTTCCTGCTGCCGTGTCACAGGGCAGGAGTGATAAGTATGCTACTGAGACACACCAAACAATAGAGAACGAACAAAAGCAGGCCGCGTGTGACCAGCCTCAAGCAGTTGTCCCCTGGGCTCTGCGGTCACGCAACCAACTTCCACGGTGTGGGCAGCCGAGAAGTAACAATCGCCCCCACAATCCGACATGCACACGAAACCTCTCTAATCCTTACTCATCTTTGTCTTCATCTTGATCTCTATCATCTTGCCTTCCTTCCACTGATGCAACTCCTCGACTTGATAGCTCTTCACTTCCTCTCCACTGTGCGTCCACTAAAAACGATGGAAGCCAAAAAACCACCACCGATAGTCTCCTAAAGCCACGCCACCAATTTCATATAGAAGCTTTTAATGTTAGGACACTTTGCCAAATAGGACAACAAGCATCACTAGCCAAGACTCTGGCATCACGAGCCATTGATGTATGCTGTGTTTCAGAAACACGCATACAAGACCCAAGTGTGGTTATTCACCTAACCCCACTTGGCCAACAGGACGAATCTGCAAAATTCACCTTGAGGGTGTCAGGAGATGCCACAGCTAGTTCACGAGGATTAGCTGGTGTAGGGATAGCTTTGAGTACTAGGGCAGAAAGGACATTATTTGACTGGATCCCGGTAGACAGCCGAATGTGTGCTGTCCGTCTGAACGGGTCAGTAAAAAGGAGAAAGGACTGCACTACTCGCCGATGCCTTTTCGTAGTCTCCGCCTACGCCCCCACTGACTGCAGTTCGGATGAAACGAAGGATGAGTTCTACCAAAAGCTATCTAGTTTGGTGCGAAAGGCTAAACGCTCAGATATAGTCGTTCTAGCTGGTGACTTTAACGCTCAAGTAGGGAAATTGTGTCAATCTGAGAAGGATGTCGGTGGCATCTATGGAGTTCCGTGCCAGTGAACCGACAACGGTGACCGTCTCCTACAGTTCTGCTCTGATAATCATTTGTTTCTTGTGAGCACTAACTTCAAACACAAGAAGAGACCCTGTTTGACTTGGAGACCCCCTTCATCAAACCAACGCTGGACACAAATAGACCACATAGCAATAAGCTATCGTTGGCGTGGGTCGGTAGGAGATTGTCGCTCCTTCTGGAACACGTGTGTAGATACCGATCACGCTGGCGGCAAAACCATCACGTCCGCAGCTAGATCAGGAAACTAAATCGGTATTTGAGGAAGAACTAGCTAAACACATATCTGTGTTCGACAGCTGTGCTCACCCTGAAGAAGCTTGGAAAAATATCCAGGCAGCCATAGATACAGCTGTAAAAGCTGTGAATAAGGTAAACCCAAAGGTGAGTAAAAACCACTGGATCTCCACCGCCTCATCCGAACTGATAGATGCTAGAAGACTTATTCCGGCGAGCTCCGAATTCAATGAGGAGCGAAAGCTGCACAAGAGGAAACTTACGAAAAGTCTCCGCAAGGACCGTGAACAGTGGTGGGCGACAAAAGCCAAAGAGATGGAGAAAGCTTCGAGGATAGGCAACACCAGGCAACTCTTTGGACTCATCAGGGAAACGGGTGGGAGAAGACAAATCATTAGTGAGACAATCTCGGAAAAAAATGGCACTATAATTAGCTCCCAGGATAGACGACTGGATCGTTGGAAAGAGCATTATGAGGAGCAGTTTAATTTGCCCACAGCCACGCTCAACCTTCCGAGCATCCAACACCTCCCTGAATGGGATATAGACACAGGTCCTCCGTCCTAAACTGAGGTTACTAAAGCTGTCACCAATCTGAAACTAGGCAAAGCAGCGGGACCTGATGGAATGACTCCAGAGGTATTTAAGTACGGTGGAGACAGCTTACTGTCGGGATTAACTGAGGTACTAGGCAGCGTCTGGGAATCAGAAGAAGTCCCATCGGGTTGGTGTAAGTCACTGATTATCCCCATATACAAGAAGGGAGACAAGTCTTCCTGTGATAATCACAGAGGGATTAGCTTGACTAATATAGTATCTAAAGTCTTAGGCTCAATAATCATGCGTAGACTGAGTGGTGCTCGGGAAGCACAAACACGAGAGAGCCAGGCAGGCTTTAGACCAGGAAGAGGGTGTATTGATCATATCTTCACCCTCCGACAGATTCTAGAACATAGGCATTCCTACCGGCGTCCAACAGTCATTATATTTCTTGACCTAAAGGCAGCATTCGACTCTGTCGATCGGAAGTTCTCTGGAGATGCTTGGCTGTAAAGGGAATTCCGAGAAAATATATTGCACTGATTAAGGCACTCTACTCGTACTCATACAGCCAGGTGAGGGCTTACGGCGAGCTGTCATCTGAACTGATGACGACCAGTGGTGTCCGTCAAGGATGCCCATTATCTCCTTTTCTATTCAACTTCATCATAGATGTGTTAATGGACTTAACCCTAGGTGACTTCAGCGACTCAGGGATTGACTTGCTACCGGGAATAATCTCGTTGACTTGGAATATGCAGACGATATAGTCCTTCTAGGCGAAGACGCTGACGAAATGCAGAGTCTTCTAAACACCTTGAGCCGCAATCTACGAATGTTTGGCATGCGATTCGCTCCCGCCAAATGCAAGATGATGTTACAGGACTGGACTACATCGACGCCTAGTTTAAAAATAGGAAGTGAAGTGGTAGAGCACGTTGACCGCTTCACTTATTTGGGAAGTACCATCAGCCCCAACGGGCTGATCTCTGACGAAATCTCAGCACGAATACAAGGGGCTCGTTTCGCATTTGTTAGTTTACGCCGACTCTGGCGTAGACGAGATGTTCGACTATCGACCAAAGGGCGGGTGTACTGCTCATCAGTCCGCTCCGTCCTCCTTTATGGTTGTGAGACCTGGCCACTGAGAGTGGAAGACATGAAAAGACTAGCTGTCTTTGATCATAGGTGCCTGCGTTCTATTTCCCGTGTAAAGTGGCATAATAAGGTGAGCAACATGGAGGTTAGGCGTAGAGTTCTAGGTAAACAGGGGAAATCAATCGACGAAGTCGTGAAGCTACAAAGACTGAGATGGTTAGGACATGTGTTACGTATGCCAAGCCATCGCCTCCCTCGACGAGCAATGTTAGCGGATATAGGGTCAGGCTGGAAAAAAGCTAGCGGCGGTCAAACAAAAACTTGGCATCAGTCAATGAAATCCACAACAGTTGGTCTAAGCCACGTAGGAAGGTGTAGACTTCCAGGCTGGGGTCCTCGGGACGGTAAAAATCTATGGTTGGAAACAATTGGTGACATGGCTCAAAATCGTTCTCAGTGGCGCAGATGCATCCACTCCTTGTGACTTATGATTTCCAATGAAACTGTTTTGTTCTTCTTTATTACTCCTTTGTCTCACACCTCTGCTCACTGTTTCTATTATGCTTTTCTTGTACTTTCTTCTCT